TACACAACACAGGTGTACTGTACACAACACGGGTGTACTGTACACAACACAGGTGTACTGTACACAACACGGGTGTACTGTACACAACACAGGTGTACTGTACACAACACAGGTGTACTGTACACAACACAGGTGTACTGTACACAACACAGGTGTACTGTACACAACACGGGTGTACTGTACACAACACAGGTGTACTGTACACAACACGGGTGTACTGTACACAACACGGGTGTACTGTACACAACACAGGTGTACTGTACACAACACAGGTGTTTATATATAGTATAAAGGAGGAAATATTTACCACAAAACTATACTAAATCAGACGCTAGTGGCTAGCCACACTAAACTTTGCAGGATGACACGTGTGTGTGTGGGGGAGATCATAGGCGGTTCAGCTTCAGTATTCCCCTATAAGTATATGGACCATAATATAGTGTTCCTTGATATATACACTATGTATAGTTTAATATATAATAATGATGAATTAAATTATATTGTATTTGACGCCAGAATTAATCAGGTTTCCGTCGCTACGATTTGTAATTCTTTTGTTTTTTTTTATTTTCAGCTATCCGGCTCCGTGTTCTCCCGCGCAAGGTAAGGCTCGCTCGCACGCACGCACTCACTCACACACATGCACGCACGCACACGCACACTTCACCCTCTGGAACATCACACAGAAATCTCATCTTATGATAGCAGGCGGGCTGTCCGCCTTGCTGACACCATGTTATGATAGCAGGCGGGCTGTCCGCCTTGCTGAAACCATGTTATGATAGCAGGCGGGCTGTCCGCCTTGCTGACACCATGTTATGATAGCAGGCGGGCTGTCCGCCTTGCTGACACGATGTTATGATAGCAGGCGGGCTGTCCGCCTTGCTGACACGATGTTATGATAGCAGGCGGGCTGTCCGCCTTGCTGACACCATGTTATGATAGCAGGCGGGCTGTCCGCCTTGCTGACACCATGTTATGATAGCAGGCGGGCTGTCCGCCTTGCTGACACGATGTTATGATAGCAGGCGGGCTGTCCGCCTTGCTGACACGATGTTATGATAGCGTCTCGGGCCACCAGCTGTGGGAGTGGGGCGTCTCATCTTGGGCCGCCAGCTGTGGGAGCGGGGCGTCTCATCTTGGGCCACCAGCTGTGGGAGTGGAGCGTCTCATCTTAGACCACCAGCTGTGGGAGTGGGGCGTCTCATCTTGGGCCACCAGCTGTGGGAGTGGAGCGTCTCATCTTGGACCACCAGCTGTGGGAGTGGGGCGTCTCATCTTGGGCCACCAGCTGTGGGAGTGGGGCGTCTCATCTTGGGCCACCAGCTGTGGGAGTGGGGCGTCTCATCTTGGACCACCAGCTGTGGGAGCGGGGCGTCTCATCTTGGGCCACCAGCTGTGGGAGTGGGGCGTCTCATCTTGGACCACCAGCTGTGGGAGTGGGGCGTCTCATCTTGGGCCACCAGCTGTGGGAGTGGGGCGTCTCATCTTGGGCCACCAGCTGTGGGAGTGGGGCGTCTCATCTTGGGCCACCAGCTGTGGGAGTGGGGCGTCTCATCTTGGGCCACCAGCTGTGGGAGCGGGGCGTCTCATCTTGGGCCACCAGCTGTGGGAGTGGGGCGTCTCATCTTGGACCACCAGCTGTGGGAGCGGGGCGTCTCATCTTGGACCACCAGCTGTGGGAGTGGGGCGTCTCATGTTGGGCCACCAGCTATGGGAGCGGGGCGTCTCATCTTGGACCACCAGCTGTGGGAGCGGGGCGTCTCATCTTGGGCCACCAGCTGTGGGAGCGGGGCGTCTCATCTTGGGCCACCAGCTGTGGGAGCGGGGCGTCTCATCTTGGAGTAACCTGTCTAACATTGGGTCCTCTAACATTAGGATGGTGTTCCACGCCCTGATGGCTTGGTGCTGCAGTCTGATGTTTAGTGACTGTATGTGTGAGGTAGGCAGTATTAGAGCCAATGGGTGCTGGGAAAGCAGTATTAGAGCCAATGGGTGCTGGGAAAGCAGTATTAGAGCCAATGGGTGCTGGGAAAGCAGGAATAGAGCCAATGGGTGCTGGGAAAGCAGGAATAGAGCCAATGGGTGCTGGGAAAGCAGGAATAGTGCCAATGGGTGCTGGGAAAGCAGGAATAGTGCCAATGGGTGCTGGGAAAGTCAATAATAGAGCCAATGGGTGCTGGGAAAGCAGGAATAGTGCCAATGGGTGCTGGGAAAGCAGGAATAGAGCCAATGGGTGCTGGGAAAGCAGGAATAGTGCCAATGGGTGCTGGGAAAGCAAGAATAGTGCCAATGGGTGCTGGGAAAGTCAATAATAGAGCCAATGGGTGCTGGGAAAGGCAATAATAGAGCCAATGGGTGCTGGGAAAGGTAATAATAGAGCCAATGGGTGCTGGGAAAGGCAATAATAGAGCCAATGGGGGCTGGGAAAGACAATAATAGAGCCAATGGGTGCTGGGAAAGCAGGAATAGTGCCAATGGGTGCTGGGAAAGGCAATAATAGAGCCAATGGGTGCTGGGAAAGGCAATAATAGAGCCAATGGGTGCTGGGAAAGACAATAATAGAGCCAATGGGTGCTGGGAAAGGCAATAATAGAGCCAATGGGTGCTGGGAAAGGCAATAATAGAGCCAATGGGGGCTGGGAAAGGCAATAATAGAGCCAATGGGTGCTGGGAAAGACAATAATAGAGCCAATGGGTGCTGGGAAAGACAATAATAGAGCCAATGGGTGCTGAGAAAGGCAATAATAGAGCCAATGGGTGCTGGGAAAGCAGGAATAGAGCCAATGGGTGCTGGGAAAGACAATAATAGAGCCAATGGGTGCTGGGAAAGCAGGAATAGAGCCAATGGGTGCTGGGAAAGCAGGAATAGAGCCAATGGGTGCTGGGAAAGCAGGAATAGAGCCAATGGGTGCTGAGAAAGACAATAATAGAGCCAATGGGTGCTGAGAAAGCAGGAATAGAGCCAATGGGTGCTGGGAAAGCAGGAATAGAGCCAATGGGTGCTGGGAAAGGCAATAATAGAGCCAATGGGTGCTGGGAAAGACAATAATAGAGCCAATGGGTGCTGGGAAAGACAATAATAGAGCCAATGGGTGCTGGGAAAGCAGGAATAGAGCCAATGGGTGCTGGGAAAGCAGGAATAGAGCCAATGGGTGCTGGGAAAGACAATAATAGAGCCAATGGGTGCTGGGAAAGGCAATAATAGAGCCAATGGGTGCTGGGAAAGACAATAATAGAGCCAATGGGTGCTGGGAAAGACAATAATAGAGCCAATGGGTGCTGGGAAAGACAATAATAGAGCCAATGGGTGCTGGGAAAGCAGGAATAGAGCCAATGGGTGCTGGGAAAGCAGGAATAGAGCCAATGGATGCTGGGAAAGCAGGAATAGAGCCAATGGGTGCTGGGAAAGCAGGAATAGAGCCAATGGGTGCTGGGAAAGGCAATAGAGCCAATGGGTGCTGGGAAAGACAATAATAGAGCCAATGGGTGCTGGGAAAGACAATAATAGAGCCAATGGGTGCTGGGAAAGCAGGAATAGAGCCAATGGGTGCTGGGAAAGACAATAATAGAGCCAATGGGTGCTGGGAAAGCAGGAATAGAGCCAATGGGTGCTGGGAAAGGCAATAATAGAGCCAATGGGTGCTGGGAAAGCAGGAATAGAGCCAATGGGTGCTGGGAAAGGCAATAATAGAGCCAATGGGTGCTGGGAAAGACAATAATAGAGCCAATGGGTGCTGAGAAAGACAATAATAGAGCCAATGGGTGCTGGGAAAGACAATAATAGAGCCAATGGGTGCTGGGAAAGACAATAATAGAGCCAATGGGTGCTGGGAAAGACAATAATAGAGCCAATGGGTGCTGGGAAAGCAGGAATAGAGCCAATGGGTGCTGGGAAAGGCAATAATAGAGCCAATGGGTGCTGGGAAAGGCAATAATAGAGCCAATGGGGGCTGGGAAAGACAATAATAGAGCCAATGGGTGCTGGGAAAGCAGGAATAGAGCCAATGGGTGCTAGGAAAGGCAATAATAGAGCCAATGGGTGCTGGGAAAGGCAATAATAGAGCCAATGGGGGCTGGGAAAGACAATAATAGAGCCAATGGGTGCTGGGAAAGGCAATAATAGAGCCAATGGGTGCTGGGAAAGACAATAATAGAGCCAATGGGTGCTGGGAAAGGCAATAATAGAGCCAATGGGTGCTGGGAAAGGCAATAATAGAGCCAATGGGTGCTTGGAAAGCAGGAATAGAGCCAATGGGTGCTGGGAAAGCAGGAATAGAGCCAATGGGTGCTGGGAAAGCAGGAATAGAGCCAATGGGTGCTGGGAAAGCAGGAATAGAGCCAATGGGTGCTGGGAAAGACAATAATAGAGCCAATGGGTGCTGGGAAAGGCAATAATAGAGCCAATGGGTGCTGGGAAAGGCAATAATAGAGCCAATGGGTGCTGGGAAAGCAGGAATAGAGCCAATGGGTGCTGGGAAAGGCAATAATAGAGCCAATGGGTGCTGGGAAAGCAGGAATAGAGCCAATGGGTGCTGGGAAAGACAATAATAGAGCCAATGGGTGCTGGGAAAGCAGGAATAGAGCCAATGGGTGCTGAGAAAAACAATAATAGAGCCAATGGGTGCTGGGAAATACAATAATAGAGCCAATGGGTGCTGGGAAAGGCAATAATAGAGCCAATGGGTGCTGGGAAAGCAGGAATAGAGCCAATGGGTGCTGGGAAAGGCAATAATAGAGCCAATGGGTGCTGGGAAAGCAGGAATAGAGCCAATGGGTGCTGGGAAAGCAGGAATAGAGCCAATGGGTGCTGGGAAAGCAGGAATAGAGCCAATGGGTGCTGGGAAAGGGCAAGGAAGCCCCTTACAATTGCTGGGACAGAGATTTGGCTTTACTTGATAAATGGAAGAAGATTCCGCTCAGGTCTGGACTGGACCTCTCGTTCCAGACTTCCAGAGGCAGTTCTGGAAGTCCTAGTTAGACCACCCTGGACTGTCCAGGACCTGGTGGGGCTGGAACCCCAGTGGAAGACCCGGAAGACCTGCTGAAAGACCCGGAAGACCTGGTGGAAGACCTGGAAGACCTGCTGGAAGACCTGGAAGACCTGGTGGAAGACCCGGAAGACCTGCTGGAAGACCTGGAAGACCTGCTGGAAGACCTGGTGGAAGACCTGGAAGACCTGGTGGAAGACCTGGAAGACCTGGTGGAAGACCTGGAAGACCTGCTGGAAGACCTAGTGGAAGACCTGGAAGACCTGCTGGAAGACCTGGAAGACCTGGTGGAAGACCCGGAAGACCTGCTGGAAGACCCGGAAGACCTGCTGGAAGACCCAGAAGACCTGCTGGAAGACCTGGAAGACCTGGTGGAAGACCCGGAAGACCTGCTGGAAGACCCGGAAGACCTGGTGGAAGACCCGGAAGACCTGGTGGAAGACCTGGAAGACCTGCTGGAAGACCTGGAAGACCTGCTGGAAGACCCGGAAGACCTGCTGGAAGACCTGCTGGAAGACCCGGAAGACCTGCTGGAAGACCCGGAAGACCTGCTGGAAGACCCGGAAGACCTGGAAGACCTGCTGGAAGACCCGGAAGACCTGCTGGAAGACCTGGAAGACCTGCTGGAAGACCTGGAAGACCTGGTGGAAGACCTGCTGGAAGACCCGGAAGACCTGCTGGAAGACCCGGAAGACCTGCTGGAAGACCCGGAAGACCTGCTGGAAGACCCGGAAGACCTGCTGGAAGACCCGGAAGACCTGCTGGAAGACCCGGAAGACCTGCTGGAAGACCCGGAAGACCTGCTGGAAGACCCGGAAGACCTGCGGGAAGACCTGGAAGACCTGGTGGAAGACCCGGAAGACCTGGAAGACCTGCTGGAAGACCTGGAAGACCTGGTGGAAGACCCGGAAGACCTAGTGGAAGACCCGGAAGACCTGGTGGAAGACCCAGAAGACCTGCTGGAAGACCCGGAAGACCTGGTGGAAGACCTGGAAGACCTGCTGGAAGACCTGGAAGACCTGCTGGAAGACCTGGAAGACCTGCTGGAAGACCCGGAAGACCTGCTGGAAGACCCGGAAGACCTGCTGGAAGACCCGGAAGACCTGCTGGAAGACCCGGAAGACCTGCTGGAAGACCTGGAAGACCTGGAAGACCTGGTGGAAGACCCGGAAGACCTGCTGGAAGACCTGGAAGACCTGCTGGAAGACCCGGAAGACCTGGTGGAAGACCCGGAAGACCTGGTGGAAGACCCGGAAGACCTGGTGGAAGACCCGGAAGACCTGCTGGAAGACCCGGAAGACCTGGTGGAAGACCCGGAAGACCTGCTGGAAGACCTGGAAGACCTGGTGGAAGACCCGGAAGACCTGGTGGAAGACCCGGAAGACCTGGTGGAAGACCCGGAAGACCTGGTGGAAGACCCGGAAGACCTGCTGGAAGACCCGGAAGACCTGCTGGAAGACCCGGAAGACCTGCTGGAAGACCCGGAAGACCTGCTGGAAGACCTGGAAGACCCGGAAGACCTGCTGGAAGACCTGGAAGACCTGGAAGACCTGGTGGAAGACCTGCTGGAAGACCCGGAAGACCTGGTGGAAGACCTGGAAGACCTGCTGGAAGACCTGCTGGAAGACCTGGAAGACCTGCTGGAAGACCTGGAAGACCTGCTGCAAGACCCGGAAGACCTACTGGAAGACCTGGAAGACCTGCTGGAAGGCCTGCTGGAAGACCCGGAAGACCTGCTGGAAGACCTGGAAGACCTGGTGGAAGACCTGGAAGACCTGCTGGAAGACCCGGAAGACCTGGTGGAAGACCCGGAAGACCTGGTGGAAGACCCGGAAGACCTGGTGGAAGACCCGGAAGACCTGGTGGAAGACCCGGAAGACCTGCTGGAAGACCCGGAAGACCTGCTGGAAGACCCGGTGGAAGACCTGCTGGAAGACCTGGTGGAAGACCTGGAAGACCTGCTGGAAGACCTGGAAGACCTGCTGGAAGACCTGCTGGAAGACCTGGAAGACCTGGTGGAAGACCTGGAAGACCTGCTGGAAGACCTGTTAAAAAACTTGGAAGACCTGGTGGAAGACCTGGAAGACCTGGTGGAAGACCCGGAAGACCTGCTGGAAGACCTGGAAGACCTGCTGGAAGACCTGGTGGAAGACCTGGAGGAAGACCTGGAAGACCTGGTGGAAGACCCGGAAGACCTGCTGGAAGACCTGGAAGACCTGGTGGAAGACCCGGAAGACCTGCTGGAAGACCTGGAAGACCTGGTGGAAGACCTGGAAGACCTGCTGGAAGACCTGGAAGACCTGCTGGAAGATCATCTTAACTCAGTGAGATGAACTCGGCTCATCCAGTAAGTTCCAGTGAGTCCTGGAACATTCCAGCAGGAGGTGGTGGGGGGGGGGCGGCGCTCCCGAGGCATTTTTAATTACTGGTATATGCTGGAATGTCAAGAAATATAATGGAATATTGATGAATATGGTCTCAGGTGGAAGATAGAAGAGTAAGAGGAGACATGATCACTACCTACAAAATTCTCAGAGGAATTGACGTGGTACAAAGGGACACAGGTGGGGACTGAGTACCCACATGAGCCACAGAGATGTGTGACTTGCCTACCCTAACTTATCCTGGCCACCCTAACTTATCCTGCCTCACCCTAACTTATCCTGCCTCACCCTAACTTATCCTGGCCACCCTAACTTATCCTGCCTCACCCTAACTTATCCTAGCCACCCTAACTTATCCTAGCCACCCTAACTTATCCTGCCTACCCTAACTTATCCTGCCCCACCCTAACTTATCCTGCCCCACCCTAACTTATCCTGCCTACCCTAACTTATCCTGCCCCACCCTAACTTATCCTGCCTACCCTAACTTATCCTCCCCCACCCTAACTTATCCTGCTTACCCTAACTTATCCTGCCCCACCCTAACTTATCCTGCCCCACCCTAACTTATCCTGCCCACCATAACTTATCCTGCCTCACCCTAACTTATCCTGCCTACCCTAACTTATCCTGCCTACCCTAACTTATCCTGCCTCACCCTAACTTATCCTGGCCACCCTAACTTATCCTGCCTCACCCTAACTTATCCTGGCCACCCTAACTTATCCTGCCTCACCCTAACTTATCCTGGCCACCCTAACTTATCCTAGCCACCCTAACTTATCCTAGCCACCCTAACTTATCCTGCCTCACCCTAACTTATCCTGCCTCACTCTAACTTATCCTAGCCACCCTAACTTATCCTGCTTCCCCCTAACTTATCCTAGCCACCCTTACTTATCCTAGCCACCTGTTGGGGGTTTCACCTCTCTATTATTCTCTACCCTTACTCTGGGGTGAGCAATAGTTATGCTCAAGGTAACTCACCGTAGCCCTGCGGGTCTTCCCTCGATCCTCACGGCGCCACTGCACGCCAGGAGAGTCTCCCAGTCAATCTTAACGGCCTCTTATTAAGAAAGAGTGAGAACACGACTCGATCACATCGACCGTCGTGTGCCCTCGCCAACAATAGGGCTCTACGGTTAATCACAAGGTCGCCAATTGGTGTTTAAGGTGGCCAATAACACCCTCAGTGGACTGGTGTATTCAGTGGTAGCCTTGGCAAGGTCACACTCAAAGATCAGGAATCAGGCAGGTACTTGTTGTTATCACTCTATGTTTACCAGTATAATATAGCCACAAGATCAATGGAGGGAATGATAAAAACACTAAGATAGTTTTGTATTTTACTTAAAATGTATGAAAGATGTCACAAAGCCAAACAACAACACATAAATCAGCAAATCCTGACGCGGCCGGAAGTTCCCACGAATAGTCCGCGATCATTAGGTGGCAACACCTCCCCCTCCTCATCAAGTGTCAAGAACAGCTGATCGCAATGGACTCTCCGCGCGAAATTTGCTTGTTTGCTAGATTCACGCGCGCGGTTTCTTTAAATTCTCCAATATTACTAGAAACTCGCACACTCGATATTGGCACAAATAAACCGAATTACTTAGTTACACTGTACTCAGGCTCAAACAGTCTTTTCTACAATCAATGCTATAATGATTCACTGTAATGGCTTCACATTGTTCTTCACTCAGCAATATATTAAGAACTATTAACACTGGAGTTTTCAATACTTTCTCTCGTGAGCGATAACGCAATAATTCACTGTACTCGCAAATGATTATTCACTGAATGAACATAGACATATATATGGTATATAAATCAATCATCAATACATGGAAAATAAATAGTTTCTGGGCACATAGCCTAACCTCCAAATACTGGCATAATATTATATATAATTCACCACTATATGTTCATATCAAAATCTATAGAAAGATATACACAACACAGTAAATTTATCACTGGTTCTTGGTGTCTGTACACACCAATAATCAACATGAATATTACAAGCACTCTTGATAGTACTGTCTAGCACCCTGGTGCTTTACCATGACATAAGTGAGACTTGCTCACGACATATAAAATCTTCAGGCTAGATAATATAGCCGAATAATATAGCTAACTAAAGGGGAATGGGGAGGGAACTAGAACCACCTACTTCACCCTATCCTCCGATGAGAGTCGAGATGTAGCTCCTGGTCCTCGTGTCGGGAACGCCCCCTCACTACACGTCGTCGTGTCCTACCAGAGCCTCTCGTCGTCCCACCGTTTAGCGCGTCGTCTCCGTGCCTCCTCACTGCAGGTCCGTCCTCCTTCTTGACTTCTTGAAGGTTGGAGTCGGTCTCCTGGCCGTCGTCTTCTCCCAGCAACGGCTGTCGCCTACGTCTCAGCTACAGTCGTCCGGTTTCCCCAAATAGTCCTCTCTTCCTCAGCTACCCAGTGGCTCTGTCAGCCACTACGCTGTCACGAACTGGTGAATTGCCACAGACGTCAACATACGTCACTGCACGGCTTCACTGCTACTGGCACAGTACCTGACTGGAGCACTTGTTGCTCAAATAACCGTCAATTCCCTCTTCTGGTTCAACACATGAACTAGGGAAGACTTCTCAGAGTACTGGCGAACTTCCGATGACGCGTAAATCCACGGTAGTGGGAAACAGCTGTCCGACAGACAGGACCACTCGTCGCACGTCCGACCTCTATGACGTGTCGTGTCTGACTGATGGCGCCAGCCCGGCGCGCTGGCCGGACCCCCTTCCTTCGTGACGTCACTTTTACTATGGGAGGTTTTCATTGGCTCCCGGTGCCACACTGCTGTCGGTGACCAATCCGATGCCACTGACGTCACACGGTTTTGGCGGGAGATCAGGGAAGCCAGCGCCATCTTGGCTCCCTAAAGGGCCTAAACCACAGGCCAAAATATTACTATTTCGCAAATTTCTCGGCTCTCCGAGAACACTTCACTCTCTCCCATATATCAAATTGTAGCCTGCAACGTAGAGAACGCTTGGGAAAAGTAGACATGACTCTTACTGCAGGCGTGGGAGAATTATAAGGGGGGGAACACCGTCACACACCCTAACTTATCCTGCCTCACCCTAACTTATCCTGCCTCACCCTAACTTCTCCTGCCTCACCCAAACTTATCCTAGCCACCCTAACTTATCCTAGCCACCCTAACTTATCCTGCCTCACCCTAACTTATCCTGCCTCACCCTAACTTATCCTGCCTCACCGTAACTTATCCTGCCTCACCGTAACTTATCCTGCCCCACCCTAACTTATCCTAGCCACCCTAACTTATACTGCCCCACCCTAACTTAACCTAGCACCAAGCAGACCCCAGCTGGTGGCTGGGGGCACCTAGCAGACCCCAGCTGGTGGCTGGGGGCACCTAGCAGACCCCAGCTGGTGGCTGGCGGCACCTAGCAGACCCCAGCTGGTGGCTGGCGGCACCTAGCAGACCCCAGCTGGTGGCTGGCGGCACCTAGCAGACCCCAGCTGGTGGCTGGCGGCACCTAGCAGACCCCAGCTGGTGGCTGGCGGCACCTAGCAGACCCCAGCTGGTGGCTGGAGGCTCCTAGCAGACCCCAGCTGGTGGCTGGAGGCTCCTAGCAGACCCCAGCTGGTGGCTGGCGGCACCTAGCAGACCCCAGCTGGTGGCTGGCGGCACCTAGCAGACCCCAGCTGGTGGCTGGCGGCACCTAGCAGACCCCAGCTGGTGGCTGGAGGCACCTAGCAGACCCCAGCTGGTGGCTGGAGGCACCTAGCAGACCCCAGCTGGTGGCTGGAGGCACCTAGCAGACCCCAGCTGGTGGCTGGAGGCACCTAGCAGACCCCAGCTGGTGGCTGGAGGCACCTAGCAGACCCCAGCTGGTGGCTGGAGGCACCTAGCAGACCCCAGCTGGTGGCTGGAGGCACCTAGCAGACCCCAGCTGGTGGCTGGAGGCACCTAGCAGACCCCAGCTGGTGGCTGGAGGCACCTAGCAGACCCCAGCTGGTGGCTGGGGCACCTAGCAGACCCCAGCTGGTGGCTGGGGGCACCTAGCAGACCCCAGCGGGTGGCTGGCGGCACCTAGCAGACCCCAGCTGGTGGCTGGCGACACCTAGCAGACCCCAGCTGGTGGCTGGAGGTACCTAGCAGACCCCAGCTGGTGGCTGGGATCACCTAGCAGACCCCAGCT